TTGTGAGTCCATACCTCTACTCACACTCCTCCTTGAGTTCTCTGACAAAAGACAGTCTTTTAGTTCAATGACAAGTTGAGACATGCTTGGCCGTTTTGTTGAGGAAGGATTTGCGCATGACATTGCCAGTTCAAGAGCTCTCCACGCAGAATGAGAGTCATACTCTCCGTGAAGGTTTGGATCCATGATACTACTAATATCTCCGCTATTCAGCTCAAACCCAACCCATTGTGTTATGTGAGTCTTTGCACGGGCTTGGTCAGTCACTGGTTCGTTTGTGATCATCTCCAATAACACAATCCCGAAGCTGTACACATCACTCTTCTCAGACAACCGGCTTGTATGGTAGTATCTGCAAGGCAAATAACATAGTGCTATATTATATTCTATAGGTATCCTTCAAGAAAACTTGTTTCACAACATTTTGATGTTAACTAACAATACTTACTCAGGATCAAGGTATCCAGGAGTCCCAGCAACTATCGTGGAAACATGAGATTCATCTCCAACTGGGAAAGATCTTGACAACCCAAAATCAGCAAGCTTGGCCTTGAACTGCTCATCCAACAAAATGTTTGTAGGTTTTACATCTCGATGAATCATAGGTGGTATGCATCCAGAATGTAAATATTCCAATCCTGCCGATCGGATTTATCTATCATTAGCCTTATGCAACCAACATTTTTGGAAACTTCGAAAATGGAAGAAAGAAATGATTCTTGTTCTATGGTATAACTTAGTACAAACCTAAAGCAGCCTCCACAGCTATTCGTAGCCGCATACCCCAGTTGATAATGGATTTACCTCCTTTTCCTGTATAGTATATTGTTAGGTCAAAGTCCTAAATTACACTGGTTTTATATGCTATTTGTTTATATGTTACTCTCACTATAAAATTTTATTTTCAGGTTTACCAGACAGATGTTGGCTTAAGTCTCCATTGGACACAAATTCGTAGATGAGAGCCAAGTGATCTCCTTCACTACAATATCCAACCAGATTAACCAAATTTGCATGGTGAACCCTCATAAGAAGATCAACCTAATCATCCATAATTAAAACACACACATGAAATCCATAAGCTTATGATGATAAGGATGATCATAAACATTTCAATAAAATTTAACGTATGCCTACTTCTGCCTTGAACTGCTTATAGCCTTGAGTGGATGATTGAGAGAGCACTTTAACGGCTACTTGTTCATATCCGTTTAAAGTACCATGATAAACCACACCAAATCCTCCTTTTCCAACAACTCTTTCGAAGTTATTTGTCATATTAACGACCTCTGAATAAGCAAACTTTCTCTTATTCGTTTGGATTGGTAAAACTGGCGGTATACAAGGAGGCGGTTGCAATGCTGTGGATACGTAAAAACAGCGTGGGATATAAGCAAACTATTCATGAGAAATGTATACCTCTTGGAGTTGGTTTCTTGCAAATTACCTCCCGCAGTTGATGGCTTTTTCTTTCTAAAAACAAAAAAGAGAACTAAAACAGCGATGATAATAGCCACAGCAGAAGCAACTGACGCGACAATCACCACTGGGAATGGCTTGGTTTTGGGTGGTAGGCATGAACCAGAGTCACAAAGCCTTGGGTTCCCTTGAGGACTGCAAGAAGACAAAAAATTGTTTCAATTTTTAAATATATCAATTATTCAAATGGCCTCTAGACAACAACTGAGAAATGTTCAAGATATATGTCAAAAGTTTCTCACTATAACTCCTTTTTCCACAGAGTCTGAGGAATTGAACCATTGAGATCGTTCCAGCTTACGTTTCTGTTAAAGAAAACAGCAAATTTCTTACATACATATACATAAAGGAAAAGGAACTAAAGTGGAACTTGGAAGGCAATAAGAATATAACGTGGAAAGAAACTTACATGAACATCAAAGATTTCATGTTACTTAGAAATTCTGGCAACTCTCCAGTCAAATTATTATTTGACAAGTCCCTAAAATTTTCAAGATTGAATAAAATTTTGAAATTCATCCAATTGATTCCAAATCATATAACAACGAAAAAACTTACAAGATTTCTAGGTGTGTAAGATTCTGAATCTCATCCGCTATTGTTCCAGTTAGACCACTTGAAGACAAGTTTCTGGTGATATGTCCAAAAACACATTAAAAAAGTGTAAGTAATCATGACTACTAACATATCTTGAAGAACCTGTTACTTTTGATCTTATGACTTACAAATAAGTGATTCTTGGCGGTATAGACACATCGGTGTTTGTACAGTTTAACCCGTCCCACATAAACTGTTGAGGGACACATGGATCTCCTTGCCAGCTGATTCTACTGATTCCGTAGGTGGTTTTGATGCTATGGACAGCAGCCACTAACATAACAATTTAATTTTGTTTCTTATTATATGATGCTCAAAGTAATATTAAACGACTTGACTACGCTATTGTGGTTATGTTAAACATACAACAAATGCATAGACATTGTATATGCACGTACCATCGCTTTCATTTGTTTCAGACTGCGGAAACTGTGTAACGGAGTAGATCTCAATAGCGTTAAGAAGAGGTGCAAGAGTTGATCTGTTGGTCCTTATCAGCTGCAAACTGCATACCTTTTCATTGCAAGTACTTGGAGACAGGCTAATGATAGTATGTATATTTAGTATAGGAGGAATTATAGGGTCGGAGGGGTCTCCATTCAAAACCGCGGTGAATTCCCTGGTACCGTTAGTCTCTTGGATCTCAGCAAAGTGTACGTACACGTAATATTGGTCACTAGCGTTAATCGGGATCCATGTGATCGTCAATGGCTCACTGGAATTAGTAGGCGTAGCAGCAGTTTCGAGTACGATTCTTGGTGGAAGATAATTGTTTGAATTGTTCACTTCAAGAGTAGTTGAAATTTGAGTCCATTCGTTCCTGAAGTACGAAGACCATACGCGATCGTAGACATCGTTTGGGTACCTGGAGATTGGTCGTAGAAATGGAATATATCATATGTCATGCACTCTGAGAGTTGTAACTTTATCAGATTGGTCGTAAAATAAAAAAAAAAATACTAGCATGCTTCATTTTTTTGTCTTTTTGTCTTATAATTTTTTGTTTTAACGAATGTGAAAATAGATGAATATAAAACATATAGAAATTACGTCCATGTGCAAAAAAATATTATTATTTTAAACGTTTTCAGTATATACAGGTTAAGGTTACAAGAACATGTATAAGAGTATCTTGCCGAAAACTGATGGGACTCGCGAAATTAGACCAAATAAACAACCCAGATCACCGTACCGTCTAGTGTTACCAGATTAGACCAGATTCAGGGCAATATCAACACTTTTCATGTCAAATAATTGAAAAAACAGAACTACAGAAACAGATCAAACACAACAATTAAGATGAGAAGATAAAAAAAGTTGAGGTACCTTATGTGAGTCAGTGGATCTTTGAGATATAATCTATTGAAAAGATTCAGGGAGCCAGACTTAGTGATATAAGTGCCGTTACCCATCGGCCGTATTTCCAAGCTGGATATGACTGGTGTAGTTTCCCCAGTCTTAACAAGACAAATCTGCAACGACTTTGATGTTGGAATGTGCAACAACTCACTCCGTGTACCATTCTTGTCTTCTTGTAAATCTATCGTGGTCCATGGGTTAGGTCCAATATACAAATCAAACTTCGGCTTAATGTCAAGACCATCATAATTTTCATAGAAAAAGTAAGCCCTAATCAAATGTTTTCTTCCCATCTCCACGTTTAGATTGTAGCAGTTCCGAAACCCTTCTGGAAAATATCTTAGTGTGTCGTATGGCTTCAAGTATACGTCGGAATTTGCTCGGACTCGACCAGTTTTTCCACTTTGGATGAACTTCTCGTCAGAAGTGAACCGCAAACCTGTCATGGCCTCATCATAAGGAGACGGTTCACTTGAAGGTAACCCGCAATCCAAACTGATGAATCCTGTTAACAAATGGAATATATCAACCATAAAAAAATGTACCATATTTCAAGAGGCACAGATATATGTATATATAACAACTAACAAGTAAGATGTGGATACCTTGTTGATCTTGAGCTTGAATAATAGCCAAAGTTGCTAATACCGCCATCAAAACCAGATGAGGACTCTCCATAGTTATTTGCATGTCAAAAAAATATCAAATCATTACAACTGACCAAGTTCTGAGAGATGAGCAGTGTATATTTATTAATAACATCGTCCAAAGCCACCTCTGGCTGACATGGGAAGATGTCTTCGGTGTGCGAATATAATAAGGAAAATCAATGGAAGAAATTAGCTAATGTATTTTCAAATGGAAAAAAACAAGAATACGAGAAAATAATATTCCAACATCACAATCAGGAACTTTATTAACAACATTATCAGAAGAATTATATCTTAAGGTTCTTAGTCAAACAAAAGGAAAATCTGTTATTCGAATGATCATTTCAACTAAACTTAGCTGGTTCTTCTAGTCATCATTCTAGGTAATACATTAAAAAATGAGCATACTGGTCATTGACTTTAATTGGTCCATTTACGACGATTTATCTGATGAAACAAGCTTTGAAAATTTTCCATTCACAAGAATAGCTTCGAGTCCAAATGTTATATATATAGACCGTAAGTAATCCAATAAGCATCTAAGCACAATTATCAACACAACGATGATTATATTAAATATCTAAAATACGGCAGAAAAATCTCTCGTCGTGGGAAGGATAATGCATGCCGATCAATATCCCTGGTGATGAAACGACGATAATTAAACATTTGATTTGAGAACGCGATCGACGACTCGAGTGTTGGAAACGCAGCCGCAAAAGGCTCACGTTTTAAACGCAACGAGAGTGGCTTATTTTGGGCCGGTCTTCAATAGGCCCATTAGATAACTTTTAGAATCTAGAACGTATCCGATCCAATAACAGTGACCTATCAGTTATTTGTCGTGACTTTCCTCGGTCTACGCGAAGCAGTCATCAGACAGAAACCAAAGTTCAGAGAGAGAGTTTGAGAGAGATGAGGTTGTTTGATCCATGGCCAGTGTTCTTCAAGAGGGAGTGGAAACGTTGTTGGCCGTTTCTCACGGGATTCGCCGTAACCGGCGTCCTCATCACCAAGCTCACCGCTGGATTCACTGGTAAAACTCTTTTCAGATCTGACCTGATTCTTCTGTAGAAAATGATACAACCAAATCCTTAATCGATCTGTATCTGTTCAATCAGATTATGTATTGTTGGATCGCTGAAACGTAATTTATGTAAATTCGTTGATTTGATTTTGCAGAGGAAGACGCCAAGAACTCCAAGTTCGTCCAACAACACAGGCGGTAATAATCGTCTTACTCTTTCCTTAAAATCATTAGCATCACATTTCAGATTTTTGGTGATTTCTCAGCATCTTTCGATTGAATCGCATTTCCTTCAGAGTTTTTAGAATAGCTTGTGACATTTCTGTTCTGTAGTAATATGGTTATTTGCGTGATGTATTATTATAAGCCGTGTTACTATGACAAAAAGAGTCTCATTTTGAATGCTTTATTGATTTGGTTCGAATACAGGTTTTACTCTATCACTAACTATACTCTGCACTTGTTCTTGATTCTTTTCTTCAGGTGATTGGCTAATGTGAAATCTATTTTGAAGAGTGCTTCTGGCTTTCAAACTTATTCTAATAAACATAAAAAAAAGAGAGAATCCTACATACTTTGTCGTTGATCTCTCGTTTCCTTTCATCTTTTGTCTTTTCACAACTCTTGAATCATTGCAAGTTCTACTTTTGTTGATACAATCTTTTCCCCCATATGTTCGAAATGGAATAACTTTTCTCTTTTTGTTAATGTTGAATCGAATGTGGATCGCTTACCATTCATTAGTGACAAATCTCATTACTATAGTTCATTAAGCAAAAATCCAAAACAACTTTCAGCATATAAATCGTAGCAATAGAACCTGCAGGGGACTGAGACCAAGCTAATAATAATTATACGAGTCAACGTACTCTCCAATTCTGTCTCCATGAGACCCACGCAAGAGATAAACAAAGGGCCTGAGCTTATACACCAGTCGGCATAACAGATCCTTCCTATTCCTCGCCCGCATCACTCTCAGTGCCTTCTTCACCACGAAACTCCCGAACTCACTCCTCGTCAGCCTCGCCAAACTCTCTCCATCACACCCATACAAAAGCTCTCCCACCACCATAACCGCCTCGTCACTATCCAAAAGCTTCTCCACCACGTACCCTCCAGTCTTCGTAAACGACAGGCCAAAGCAATGGCCACTGAGGCTAACTGCAACGTCATGCGTGTAACGCAAGTCATACAAGTCAAGCACGTGCTGGACCACGTAGTTCCCGTAAGAATTGTGGCTTAAGTGGAGAGCGTTATGCGCGACTATGCACAAGAGCTGGTCTCTGTAGAATAGATTCCCCAAGGCGTACCACTCGTTTATGATTCGTTTCAGCACGGCGAAGCCGTGTCGGTGACACGCCATGTTAACCGCGTGGTTGATAACGTTTTGGGACAAGGCTGTTTTCTTGTCCTCGCTGAAAACTCGCATCCCTTGAATCGCAACGCGGGACGCGTTCCTGTCGCTCATGACGTGGAAGAAGCGGCGCAAGATGGCGTTGAAGAAGAAGATGTCCACGTCCTCTGTGTTTCCGAGTAGCTCCTGCATGCGGTTGGAGCCGGTCTTGTTTCTTGCCATCGGCAAGAAGATACCATCGACATCTGACGTCAGCAACAAGGCCATCTTCCGAAGATGGATTCCGTCTCCATCAAGTCTTGAGACCACCTCTCTAAACTGAGCGTCTTCTTCGTTGCTAGTCACTAAGTTGAACAACGACTGCTTACACGTGTCCTTTTCTTGAGGAGTTAAGGTGGTGTAGGAGCGAACTGAGTTGAGTAAAGATTGATTCTCTTCAGTAAGATTGACTCTGTTTGGTGCGGTGGATCTTGGAGGAGGAGGAGGAGGAGGAACCACCGGAGACTCTTGCTCGGTGGATGCTCCTGCGGCCGTAAGACGGAGATCGCCTCCGTTTGCCATTAGATATGTTAACTCTTTGCTCTTTGTCTTTGGAAGGATTAAGAGTTTTGGTTGTGTGATTGTAGAGATATGAGAAACTGTTGAGATATGTGGAGTGATGATTGATGATGCCTATTTATATGAACGTTAATTAAATACATATACATAGTGACGTTGCTGGAGTATTCTTTTCCGTTTCATAGAATCTAATTTTATCGATTTTTAATGTAAGGTAATATTGTTACTACTTTGAAAATTTCACTCATCTCCCTCTCCCTTTATAATTCATGCATGCACCACTACTGAGTTTTTGTTAATTAACTAGTTGCTAAATTGATTATTACAAGTAAACAAAATAAATGTGTAATAAGTGTGGAGGATAAATTGAGTTATCGGATAACAAGTTGATGTGTGAAACTGGTGAAACCATGCAAGAAATAAATAGAAATACTTATGTTTGAAATGATTTGTTTCCCCCCTTCTTTTTGTTCTTCTCATTCATTTGTGAACGACTGAATCCTACCAACAAGCTTTATTGGTTCATCCTCATGATCATGGTCACCACACAATGCTTAAATCCATTTACACTCACTTTAATTTTGTTGTGTTGAATCAAATGTTGGTCGCTTAATACCATTATTAGTGACAAATCTTATTACAAGAGTTCAGTTCATTAAGCAAACTGTTGTGACGGACCGGATGTACTTCTGGGCCAGATGCTCTACTAAAGCCAAACCGGATGCCCGTGCTGGAGGTCAGATGTTCATCTAGAGCCAAACGTCTATCACCAGATGTCCCATCCCCCGCTTAGTATGATACTGTCCGATTTGGGCCTAAGCCTCACGAATTTATTTTTGGGTCGTTACTTCTAAAATGCCTCACAGTAAATGAGATTAGACCAGCTATGTATATTATACTTTATTCTGTATAATATTCGATGTGGGGTTTGGATTGCCTTTTTGTTTATTCTGACACAAACTATTGAATTGATCTGACAACTTCATTTCAGTATATATCATAGCAATCTTTATGATGCAAAACAAATTGTAATTAATCGGGTCCAAGAAGGCTCCAATGCGTCCATGAAACCCTGTTACTATGACAAAAAGAGTCTCATTTTGAATCCTTGATTGATTTGGTTCGAATACAGGTTTTACCAACACTAACTATCTTTTGCACTTGTTCTTGATTGTTTTCAGGTGATCGGCTAATGTGAAATCTATTGCGAAGAGTGCTTCTGGCTTTCAAATTTTTTCTAATAAACATAAATTAAAGAGAGAATCCTACATAGTTTGTCGTTCATCTCTCGTTTCTTTTCATCTTTTGTGTTTTCACAAACTTTTGAATCATTGCAAGTTCTAGTATTGTTGAAAGAATCTTTTGCCCCAAATCTCATTACAAGAGTTCATTAAGCAATCTCATTACCCTCCTCACTAATGACAAATCCCATTACAAGAGTTTATAACGCAAAATCACACAGAGAATCTAACAACTTTCAGCATATATTGTAACAATAGAACCCATGCAGACACTGTGACAAATCTAACGAAGCGAATACAAGAATGCACCAACGTTGCACCCATGCAAGAGAGGAAGGAAGGGCGTGAGCTTATTCACCAAAAGCCGAAACAGATCCCCCATATTCCTCTCCCGCATCACTCTCAGTGCCTTCACCACCACGTAATTCCCGAACTCACTCGTCGCCAGCCTCGCCAAACTCTCTCCATCACATCCCCACAAAAGCTCTCCCACCACTGAAACCACCCCCTCCTCCGTATCCAAAAACTTCTGCACGACGTAGCTTCCAGACTTCGCAAACGAAAGGCCAAAGCAACGGTCACTGAGGCTAACTGCAACCTTACGCATGAAACGCGAGTCATTCAGTTCAAGCGCGCGTTGGACCACGTAGTTCCCATGAACATGGTAGCTTAAGTGGAGAGCGTTCTCCGCGATTATGTCAAAGAGCCCGTCTTTATCGGCCAAGCCGGGTATGATTCTTTGCATTGCAGCACGACGTTGCCGCGTCGGTCACGCGCCAGGCGAACCGCGTGGCGGAGAACGTTTTGGATCATAGCGTTACTCCTCTCTTGGCTGAAAACGTGCATCCCTTGCATCCCAACGCGGGACGCCTCGTAGTCGGTCATGACGTGGACGAAGCGGTGCGAGATAGCGTCAAAGAAGAACTTGTCCACGTCATCTCTTACTCCGAGCAGCTCCTGTATGCGGTCGGAGCCGTTATTGTTTCTTGCAATCTCCAAGAAACGATCTGGATCTGACGTCAGCAACAAGGCCATGCTACGAAGATCGTTTCCTTGGTCATCTAATCTTGAGACCACCTCGCTAAACTGAGCCGCACCGTCTTCTTGGTTGCTAGTCATTAAGTTGAACAACGACTGCTTACACGTGTCCATTTCTTGAGGAGTTAAGGTGGTGGCGGAGCGAATTGAGTTGAGTAAAGCTTGATTCTCTTCAGTAAGATTGAATCTTGGAGGAAGGATATTGGCGATGGGGATTTCACGTGGAGGAGGAGGAGGAACCACCGGAGACTCTTGCTCGGTCGATGCTCCTGCGGCGGTGAAACGGAGATCGTCGCCGTTTGCCATTGTATACGTTAACTCTTTGCTCTTTGTCTTTGGAAGGATTAAAGAGTTTTGGTTGAGTGATTGTAGAGAATGAGAAAGTGTTGAGATATGTGGAATGATGATGACTATTTATATGAACGTAAATACGTATATACATGGCGACGTTGCTGGTGTATTCTTTTTCGTTTCATAGAATCTATTTTTTATTATTATGGTTTCGTTTTTTAAGTTAGGACACCCACATTAATAAATCCCAAGAGAGATTCAAATTTAATATTTTTTTATTTTTTTTTCGTTACTTTTACTAAAAAAAATAAAATATATGAACCAATCGCGGGTCGCCACGTGGCGTGGGGCCCACAAAAACAGGATGAACCGCTTCAGCGGAGAGAGCTTAGGCGAGACAGATTCATTACTTTTCTCTTATTTTAATATTTTTTTCTCGTTTTTCGTGTAAACCCTCCTTGGGGTTTACTAATGTAGCTGCTCTTAGTACTTTGATAAACTTCTTCACTCATCTGATTATTGTAGAAACAACAACAATAATACTAATCAACTATATATAAACATATATATAGTTTTATATCAAAGAAAACACTAATAATACAATTTCAATGCTGTTTTCACTCGACAATAGTTTACAATTCAACTAAAATTAAATAAAACCTTGTTTTAGTCAAACCATAGATTTAATAAGTAAGCAAACTGTACCATAAAATCGAATTTGAATTGGTTTACACATAACCGACAAATTCTAATAACCGCTCCTCCGCATTTCGGTTTATTTTAAACCGTGGTATTTGCTCCGGTTCGTATCGCTCTTGTCAAACCATAACCGCAGCATTTCAAAGCTTTGATCTTCCTACAGACATGAACAAACTCTCCAACATTCCGTGTTCTTTTCGGTTAGTGTTAATCGGTTCTTATGCTGAATCGACCTCTCTGCTAAGGAAGAAATGCTTCATGCTCGTCTCGTGACATCTGGTATTGCTTGCTTGACGAGAAATGCAGTAAAGGTCGTGGAATGTGGGAGTGTTACAGATGCTAGGAAGGTGTTCGATGAAATGCCTAAGAGAGATATTAGTAGATGTGTTTGTCATGATTGGGGCTTGTGCTAGAATTGGGTGTTACCAGGAATCTTTAGGAACCTTCAGAGAAATGAATGAAGAAGGTTTAGAGTTTGACGATTTCATCGTTCCTAAGCCTTCTTAAAAAGCAAGTTGCAATCTGCTTTACCAAGAATTTGAGAAGATGATACATTGTAGTTAGCTCGCTTATTGATATGTGTTAACGATTTGGTGGTGTTCAGTGCTATGATCTTTGGTTATGCTAACAATAGCCAAGCAGATGAAGCAATGAGTTTGGTGAAGAAGGATATGAAGCTAGTGGGAATAATACCTCTGATATTATGACTTGGAATGCTCTAGTTTCAGGATTCTCGGATATGGATAATGAAGAGAAAGTATCTAAGTTTCTTGAGATTATGTGTTTGGATGGCCACAAGCCTGATTGGAGTTGAGATTATCAGTGAGTGAGAAAGCTATTTGATGCTTTAAAACAGATGTTAATCAGTTATTATTTTCATATATATATATCTTCGGCAAAAAAACATAGCCACCGGTCACAACAAGACAAAGAAAGCCACGAGCCACGTGCTGGTCCTTCCACGCAATTCATAACGTTTCTAAAGCTTTCCCAACCTCAGTGCATCAGATCTGAAGTTTCCATCTGAAGTAAAAAATGGATGAAAAGCAAGTGAAGAGAAGGATAGTGTTGGTTCCAGTATCAGCGCAAGGGCACGTCACTCCTATAATGCAACTCGGGAAAGCTCTTCACTCCAGAGGCTTCTCCATCACTGTTATTCAGACAGAGTACAATCGAGTTAGCTCTTCCCAAGATTTCTCTGATTTTCAGTTCCTCACCATCCCAGGTACTTTGACTGACTCTGATCTTCAAAGCCTCGGAGCACTCCAGTTTCTGATGAAGCTCAACCAAATCTGCGAGGCAAGCTTCAAGCACTGTTTTGGTCAACTATTGCAAGAACAAATCAGCCGTGATGATATTGCTTGTGTCATATACGATGAGTATATGTACTTCTCTGCAGCTGCTTTTAAGGAGTTTCAACTTCCTACTGTTATCTTCACTACTACTAATGCTACTGCCTTTGTCTGTCGCTCTGTTTTTGCCAAAGTCAACGCTGACAAGTTCTTGATCGAAATGAAAGGTATCCAAGATTCTTACATTAATTATAGATTTAGTTTTATAACCGATTCAAATGCTTTTTGATTTGTGAAACTTTGCAGATCCTGAAGTGCAAAACAGTTTGTTTCCAGGGTTGGATCCTCTAAGGTACAAGGACCTGCCAACTTCAGCATTTGGGACAATAGAGGATAGCATCAAGCTTTACAGTGAAGCTGTTAAGACTCGAACAGCTTCAGCGGTTATCATCAACTCAGCTACCTGTCTAGAGAGTTCGTCTTTGTCACGGCTGCAACGAGAACTACAAGTTCCGGTTTACCCTGTAGGCCCACTTCACATTGCAGCAACTTCTGCGTCTTCTAGTTTACTTGAAGAAGATAGAAGCTGCATTGAGTGGTTGAACAAGCAGAAACCAAGCTCAGTGGTTTACATAAGCTTGGGAAGCTTAGGTCGAATGGAAACCAAAGACATGTTGGAGATGGCTAAGGGGTTGAGTAATAGCAACCAACCTTTCTTATGGGCGATCCGACCCGGTTCCATTCCCGGGTCAGAATGGATAGAGTCCTTACCAGAGGAGTTCGGTGAGGTGGTTTTAGAGAGAGGTTACATTGTGAAATGGGCCCCGCAGATGGAAGTTTTAAGACATCCTGCAGTAGGAGGGTTCTGGAGTCACTGTGGATGGAACTCAACGTTGGAGAGCATTGGGGAAGGTGTTCCAATGATCTGCAGGCCTATTAGTGGAGATCAGAAAGTCAATGCGAGGTATATAGAGAGAGTTTGGAGAATTGGGATTCAACTGGAAGGAGAGATGGAGAAAGAAACTGTGGAGAGAGTTGTGAAGAGGTTGATTGTGGATGAAGAAGGAGCAGATATGAGGAAGAGAGCTATGGATTTGAAAGAGAATGTTGAAGCCTCTGTTAGAAGTGGAGGTTCCTCATGCAGCTCACTAGACGACTTTGTCAACTCTTTGCAGACGAAGAACTTCATGCAGCAATGAGATAGTCTTTGTTCAAAGTCAAAGATGTAAGAAATTCATTCTGCTCGTTGTTATTCTCAGGGTTTGGATAATTTAAATCCTGTATTGACCATTGATGGGAAAATCAATCTAGCAAACTTAAAACAAGCATGTGATTGCTCAGCATATGTTAGTTGAATCGCATTTAATAGCTTAATGTCTCTTTTTTTTTGAACTGAGCTTAATGTCTCTTAAACTAACATTTTCTCCTAAATCACAATGCCCGGTGTTTGGTTTCTCTATATCTGTTTATAAGCCATTCGTTCATGTTTAGCTAGATGTGCTTTGATCAGGCACATCCTCTATACCCTGTTACTGTGACGAAAAAGAGTCTCATTTTGAATCCTTGATTGATTTGGTTGCTCAGGTTTTACTAAACACTAACAATCATGTGTACTTGTTCATGATTGTTTTCAGGTTTTATTAAATTTAATTCAAAAGAAAGTCCCTTTTTACATCAAGTGCATCCTATTTTAGAAACTTCAAATCTTAAAATCTCCTATCTTTTCATATTGTTTCTTCTATATTCCCTCTGATTCTTCCTTCTTCTTTACAGCTCTAATCTTGTGTCAAACCAATACACCATTCCACCTTCAAACTCCATATCCCCCTTTTTGTTAAATGTTGGATCAAATGTAGATGGCTTACAATCATTAGTGACAAATCTCAATTACAAGAGTTCATTAAGCAAAAACCTTAGAATCTAAAACAACTTTCAGCATATATAAATCGTAGCAATAGAACCTGTGCAGGCATATTATTGTGACAAATCTATTTAAGGCAGTACAAGAATGAACCAATTCTGCGTCCACGCAAGAGATCAGCAAAGGGCATGAGCTTATTCGCCAAACCCCAAAACAAACCCATCCTATTCCTCTCCTGCATCACTCTCAGTGCCTTCATCACCACGTAATTCCCGTAATCACTCTTCGCCAGCTCCAACAACCTCCCTCCATCACACCGCTCCAACTCTCCCACCACCATAACCGCTCCCTCCTCCGTATCCAAAAGCTTCTGCACCACGTAGCTTCCAAACTTGGTAAACGAGAGGTCAACACAATGACCATTGAGGCTAACCGCAACGTTATGCGTGCAAGGCAAGTCATGCAAGGCAAGCACGTGTTGGACCACGTGGTTCCCATGAACATGGTAGCTTAAGTGGAGAGCGTCACGCGCCACTATGAACAAGAGCCTCTCTCTGCGGAGAAAATCACCCCATGCGGACCAGTCGTTTATGACTTCTTTCAGCACGACGTTGCCGCTACGGTTACACGCCAGGTGAAACGCGTGGTGGAGAACGCAGTCGTACATAATCTTTCTCTTCTCCTCGCTGAAAACTCGCATCCCATGCCTCACAACGCGGGACGCCTCGTTGTCCGTCATGACGTGGAAGAAGCGGATCGAGATAGCGTTGACGAAGAAGGTGTCCGCGTCATCTGTTACTCCGAGTAGCTCCTGTATGCGGTTGGAGCCGTTCTTGTTTCTTGCCATCTCCAAGAAACGATCGAGATCTGACGTCAGCAAAATGGCGATCGTCCGAAGATCGGTTCCTCCGTCGTCTAATCTTGAGACCACCTCGCTAAACTGAGCCGCACCCGCACCGTCTTCTTGGTTGCTAGTCATTAAGTTGAACAACGACTGCATACACGTGTGCATTTCTTGAGGAGTTAAGGTGGTGTAGTGGCGAAGTGAGTGGAGTAAAGATTGATTCTCTGCAGTGAGATTGACTATGTTTGGTGCGATGGATGCTCCTGCGGCGGTGAAACGGAGTTCGTCGCGGTTTGCCATTATATACGTTAACTCTTTTTCTTGGATGGATAAAGGGTTTTGGTTGTGTGATTGAAGAGAATGAGAAAGTGTTGAGATATGTGGAGTGATGTATGTGATGCATGATAATGCCTATTTATATAGTACGTATACATATACATATACATATGGCGACGTTTGTGGAGTATTCTTTTTTTTTCGTTTCATAGATATATAATTTATCATTAGGCTATCGTTAATCCTCTTTTTTCTTCTCGAAAATGTTAATACTTTGAAAATGTTAGATTATAATTCACGTTAATTAACAGACATGCATGCACCCACTTCTGAGTTCGTATTATTAATCCAGATTGATTATTATGAGCACAAAACCATAAAAATCACAACTCCATAATTAGTATGTATTGACATATATGTAAATCATTCATTCATAGTTCCAACTCCATGATTTTGACACTGTCCCGCTGAAGTTCTCCATGTAAACCTGAAGAAACAAAACTTGGCTCAAAAAGACAACCCTAGTTGTTAACGTTTCTTTGTTCTATGATGTATATGTACGTTTTCTGAATAAACCATTTTGGTTCGATCAGATATTCAGGTTTGTTCTTGGTTTTTGACATCAACATCTTTGACATTAGAAACACTAGAATCCAGTGAACCATTCTTGAATGCTTAAAGCTTCCGCTTTCTCTGGAACTTAATATCATGATAATCTGGAAAGGGCTCAATTCGAACCAAGTTTCAGGATATTACAAATCACATTTTTAAACAGAGAAACTAGATACAGACCAAAAGAGTATTACAGGACATCAAAGATCAGATGGGTTGGTTACTTGGAAACTTTCTTCTTGCCAGCAATGGGAATTTTCTTGCCTTTAAGAATTCTGCGGTTGTTCTTGGTTCTCTGTCCCCTACATGGCAGCCCTTAAATGAGTGGAAGAAGGCTACAACATTAGTTAGTCATAAAGAGAAAGAGTCGGGGAGATAAGAGATGTTTGAACCAAAAACGGTGTGTTTGTTGGATTCATACAATAAAGAATCTAAGGATTAGTCTTTAGATTCTTGAGGTTTAAGATAAATCATCAGAATAATCAAATGAGAATAGAACATCAAAGATATTTTATTGATGAGTGATTTATTACAATGAATGATTACAAGTGTAAAGTAAATCTATTCAATCTTTAAGAAGTGTTCTAGATCTAAGAATGTAAAAGAAAGATACTTCCTAATAAGGAGGTAGCTCCTTAATTATAGAAAGTATGAAACCTAGGACTTCCTAATAATATGAGTCTTATTCATTGTCTAATGGACCTTGTAGAGGAGGTAAATCGACCCCCAAAAAGAGATTGAATGGTTAGTGGACTAACGCGAAGTCTACCACGTGACCACTTCAAATTTTAGACACAAGAAGATCAAATGCTCGGTGTATCACACACGACGTGCATAATTCTTTTCGGATTGGAGAAGATTCGTCCTTGTAGTCTTAGTCTTTGAATCCAAAATGTTTTTCCAAGAAAATTCGACGAATTTTCACTAGCCTTCTTAGCATAAGAATAGGATAAATTTGCACATATTTCGCACATTGCAAACCCTCCAAAAAAATGTTTTGGATTCAATAAACCACTGAGAATTGTTGATAACGACAAGGTACAAGGTTCCTCTTCTATTGTTCCAATTTTTTTTTTTTTTTTGGGTTCATAAAAACTGCCCTCTACGAATCTGCAATGTTTTAACAATAAAGTTTTAGAACATTAATTTGAACCGAGGCGGCACAGAAATGAAAGCATGAAAAAGAGGGTAAATATAAACATGAAAACGGCAACACCAACATTGAGTAATAGGTTTTTTCCTTGGCGAACAAGAGGCACTATACCCCACAGGGTTAAAGCAAGAAGAGAAACAGTTGGAACCCATGATCTCCAAACCATGGGAGCAGGAAGGATAGCTCTGGCAAGGTTATAATCTATCCCTAAACCACCACCAATGTTAAAGTAGCTAACTTTAAATCCTTGACGTCTGATCTCATCAATGTATTCCATCTTGAGAGTTGCAGCATCTCTGAATATATCCACCTAGAATCAACATAACGTAAAGAGCAACCCATGTTCATCAGATTACACCAAAACACAGATTAAAGCAAGAGTATGGATCTTTAAAGGATGATATTACATATAATAAGGAGTCTGAATCCAATGGAGAAGACACGCCAAGAGCCAGCCTTCCAATGGACCAGATGAGAGTTAAAGACACAAAACAGTCCATGAAGCTTAAAGAAACAAGACCAGTAACTAAAGTATCAAGCCAAAGTAAATATCTAACACCACTTTTAGGTACTGGTACTGACTTGTATGTTCTTGGTACAGGAAGGCCACATGAGAGCCATATACTTACTGAAGTTCTATGGACCGAACCAGAATATGAACTCAATCAAGATCCCACAAAAAGTGGGAATCAAAATTGAACAAGTGATTGTTCAAGTGCAAAAACCTGAGGTAAATTTCACTTTAGACCATGATGTTTTTAATAACTCTATGACAAGATTAATGCACTTGTCTCGTCTAAGAGAATGTGAAATAGTTTGAGGAACTAAGGAGTACACTACTCAAAAGAATGAGGCACCAGCCATGATGTTAATAGATGTTGAGTAGAAACAAGTCCAAAGAGAGGTTGAACCAACATCATTCAAAGTCAGTTCTAAGTAAGGCAATTTTCTCTAGTGTAAATTCGTCCATATCCCTTGATTATCAAGGTATAATGCACTTGTCTTGGTCAGAAATTTTTGATCTAGGAATTAGTCAAGAAAAAAACCATAAGTTGCAAGAAGACCCGACAAACTACAAGAATTGTCCAAAGAAGAAAATAATTCTTCACTTTTCTGAAGCTCATAAGGTAAATCCGATTTTAGTACCTACTCTTAATATTTATTCAATACCAGATATAATTCAATAATACAAATTCAATAATGTTTTTACTCTCTATAATAGTTTACAATTCAACTAAAATGAAATGAAAACTTGTTTGGGGGTCAAGCCATAGATTTAAATTTAAGTAAGCAGATTACCATAAAATCGAATTGGTTTACATCATAAGCGACAAATTCTATTAACCGCTCCTCCGGTTTCCGGTTTCCGGTTTATTCTTAACCGTGGCATAGACTCCGGTTCGTATCGTTCTTGTCAAACCATACCAGCAGCTTTGATCTTCCTATAACAAACTCTCCAACATTCCGTGTTCGTTAGGATTATTGTCAATCAGTTCTTATGCTGAATTCATCGAAACCAACGGTCCAGATCGACTTCTCTATCAAGGAAGAAAGCTACATGCTCATCTCGTGACCATCTGGGATTACTCGCTTGACGAGAATCGCAGCTAATAAGCTTGTGGCATTCTACGTGGAATGTGGGAGTGTCGCAGATACTCGGAACGTGTTCGATGAAATGCCGAAGAGAGATATTAGTAGATTGGTTGTCATAATTGGGGCTTGTTGCTCGAAATGGGTATAACCAGGAATCTTTGGAAACCTTCAGAGAAATGAATGAAGAAGGTTTTATAGTTTGATGATGATTTAATTGTTCCTAGCCTTCTTAAAGCAAGTCGCAATAGAAATTGGGAAGATGATAAATTGTATGGTACTCAAGTGTTCGTTTGAGTCTGATATGGTTTTGTAGTTAGCTCGCTTATTCATATGTGTTCGAAGTTTGGGGAGGTAGAGAATGCGAGGAACGGTGTTTAGCGATTTGGTTGAACATGATTTGGTGGTGTTCAATGCTATGATCTATGGTTATGCTAACAATAGCCAAGCAGATGAAGCAATGAGCTTGGTGAAGAAGCTAGTGGGAATAAGACCTGATTTTATGACTTGGGAATGCTCTAGTTGTTCCTTTTGATGCAAAACAAGTACATAAAGGAGCCGAGACTGGAGCATTATCCATGTATGGTGGATCTTCTTGGTCGAGCAGGTAAGTTTGTTGAAGCGTTTTAGATGATAAAGACCATGCTAATGCAACCGGATTTGTTTGTGTGGGGTGCTTTGTTACGTGCTTGTTGGTAATTGGAATCATGGGAACATGGACTTTGCAGCAAAGCTCGAAAACCAGATAACTCAGGAATGGATTGCTTCTGTCCAGTTTACACACCAATGCTGTTAGTTGGGGTGTTATAAGACGAATGAAGAAGATCATAAAAAATAAGAATTCCAGACAGTAGCTGGGTAAGTACTGTTTGATCCTTCTCGTTTTTGATCATCAAACCTGACTTAGATTTTGATGAATGTTATATACATATATATATATATATATATATTAATAAAAATCACTAAAAAAATTTACAACATTAATGTTTATTCAAATGCCAGTATCATCCTAGAGATTAGATAAATAATCAGCTATTATATTCATATATATATTAGTGGCAAAGAAACAGTTTAGATAGACTTACTAGAAAAAGACAAAGCAAGCCTTTAATATGTCCCGATCACAAAAAAGCCCAGCCACGAGCCACGTGCTGGTCCTTCTACACACTTGATAAAGTTTTTGAATCTTTCCTATCCTCAATGCATCAGATCTGAAGGTTCCATCTGTCTCCCTGAGCTTCTTATATTCCTACACTGAAGAAAGAATGGATAAAAAACAAGTGAAGAGAAGGATAGTGTTGGTTCCAGTACCAGCACAAGGGCATGTCACTCCTATTATGCAACTTGGGAAAGCACTTCACTCCAAAGGCTTCTCCATCACTGTTATCCAGACACAGTACAACCGAGTTAGCTCTTCCCAAGACTTCTCTGATTTTCAGTTTCTCACCATCCCAGGTACCTTAACCGACTCTGATCTTAAAACCCTCGGAGCGCTCCAGTTTCTGATGAAGCTCAACGAAATCTGCGAGGCAAGCTTCAAGCACTGTTTAAGTCAACTACTGCAAGAACAAGGCAGCGGTGATGATATTGCTTGTGTCATCTACGATGAGTATATGTACTTCTCTGCAGCTGCACCTAAGGAGTTTCAACTTCCTAGTGTTGTCTTCAGTACTACAAATGCTACTGCCTTTGTCTGTCGCTCTGTTTTGGCTAAAGTCAACGCTGACAAGTTCTTGATCGACATGAAAGGTACCCAAGATTCTAGATTTTGACATCAATTATAAACCTCATTTGGATTTAATGATCCTGAAACTTTGCAGATCCTGAAGTGCAAAACAGTTTGTTTCCAGGGTTGGATCCTCTAAGGTACAAGGACCTACCAACTTCAGCATTTGGGACAATAGAGGATATCATCAAGCTCTACGGTGAAGCTGTTAACACTCGAACAGCTTCAGCAGTTATCATCAACTCAGCTAGCTGTCTAGAGAGCTCCTCTTTGTCACGGCTGCAACTAAAGCTACAAGTTCCGGTTTATCCTATAGGCCCACTTCACATTGCAGCTTCTGCGTCTTCTAGTTTACTTGAAGAAGACAAAAGCTGCATCGAGTGGTTGAACAAGCAGAAACCAAGGACAGTGATTTACATAAGCCTGGGAAGCTTAGGTCGAATGGAAACCAAAGACATGTTGGAGATGGCTAGTGGGTTGAGTAATAGCAACCAACCTTTCTTATGGGTGATCCGACCCGGTTCCATTCCCGGGTCGGATTGGACTGAGTCTTTACCAGAGGAGTTCAGTAAGCTGGTTTCAGAGAGAGGTTACATTGTGAAATGGGCCCCGCAGATGGAAGTTTTAAGAAATCCTGCAGTAGGAGGGTTCTTGAGTCACTGTGGATGGAACTCAACATTGGAGAGCATTGGGGAAGGTGTTCCAATGATCTGCAGGCCCATTACAGGAGACCAGAAAGTCAATGCGAGGTACTTAGAGAGTGTTTGGAGAATTGGGGTTCAGTTGGAAGGAGAGCTGGTGAAAGAAACTGTGGAGAGAGTTGTGAAGAGGTTGATTGTGGATGAAGAAGGAGCAGATATAAGGAAGAGAGCTATTGATTTGAAAGAGAAGGTTGAAGCCTCTGTCAGAAGTGGAGGTTCCTCATGCAGCTCACTACATAACTTTGTCAACTCCTTGCAAACGAAGAGTTTGTGCAGCTTTGAGATAGTCCCAGTTCAAAGTCAATAACGTGTAAGAGATTCATTTTTATGTATCAAATGGCTTTATGTTCTAAGTTTCCTCTTGTTTATTCTCAGGGTTTGGATACGTTAAAGCCTGTATTGACCATTGATGAGACAATTGGTACATGTCTCTCTGATAAGAGTATGTTCACTTTCCTTACAAACATCAAACATCTTATTATTTCGCCTTGTGACTCTCAATAAAATAAACATCTATAAACATTTTTTCCAGATTTGCTGCAAACAATGAAACAGATGAGAGAAGTACATACAAAGTTAGTTGAGCAACTTTTAATCTTGTTTTAGTTATAAAATACGAAAGTTAAGGCAAACATATACACGTTGAATCATGTATGTATTTTATCAAATTGGCACCTATATGCAGACTTAGTCAATGCATATAGATTTTTTTTTTGAACAAAGAATGCATATAGATATGAGTTGGTTTATGTAAAGTGTTTTAACAATTGGGCACCTGTAATTTTATGAAGCCACCAACGTTTAAGAAAATATATTTTTCTAAAGAGTTCCACCCACCACCTATTGCCACAATTTATTTAGAAAATATTACTAAACCAATGTAAATCAAATCTTTAAATAATAAAAGTTATTCAGCAGTCAGCACACTTGTGCTTCTGACATGATTCACAGGTGAAAACGACGTCGTGGCTTTCCCAGAAAAAAAAAACCGAGATCAAATGGGTTCCACATAGGTCCACAAACAGCAAACACGGCGTTTTCACTTTCCGCGTTTGCTCAAAAGACTCAAACGCTCATACTCTATACGTCACGACTGTTAATACCTCCGCTATCTTTCTACCCAGTCAAACACTCACCACGTGTCTCTCCACCGTCTAATCAAACGCCGTGAATTACCCTCCAACGACCGCCTTAAAACCCACAATTTCATTTTCTCACCTCAACCAATTTTCATTTAACCTCAGATCCTCTCACCAACCTAGAAGGTCTCAGAAATGCCGTCACCGTCAACGCCAATAACGTCGTCGTATTGGTGTTACAGCTGCACACGATTCGTCAGCGTCTGGACCGAATCCCAACAAACCACCACCGTCACCATCTCATGCCCTCACTGCGACGGCGGATTCATCGAAGCGATCACCCATCCCTCCTCCTCCTCCTCCGCCGCAACCGAATCAACTCCTCCACCCTCCACCGAACCCAGACCGATCACCACCAACCGTAGATCCATAATCAGACGCCGGAGATCCAATCGCCACCCTTCCTTCAACCCCGTCATCGTCCTCCAAGGCGGCGCCGGCGCCGACGTTAGAGAAGAAACTCGCGCGTTCGAGTTTTACTACGACGACGGATCTGGACTAGGCCTCAGGCCTCTTCCGGACTCCGTATCCGAGATCCTGATGGGATCCGGATTCGAGCGGTTGCTCGAGCAGTTAAGCCAGATCGATTCCGCGGCGGGGATCGGATTCGGTAGATCCGGAAACCCGCCCGCGTCGAAATCGGCGATTGAGTCTTTACCGAGAGTTAAAATATCCGATTGCCACGTAGGCAAGGAGGAGGAGGTTAATTGCGCTGTGTGCACTGAGGTTTTCGAGGTGGAGAATGAGGCGCGTGAGATGCCGTGTAAGCATGTTTTCCACGAGGACTGTATCGTTCCGTGGTTGGAGATTAGAAACTCGTGTCCTGTGTGCCGTTTCGAGATTCCTTCGGAGGGTGATAGAGGGAACGAGGAGGGTGGTGATAGCCCTGTTGGGATGACGATATGGAGACTACCTGGAGGTGGATTTGCGGTGGGGAGGTTTAATGCGGCGATGAGGGAAGGGGAGAGAGTGTTGCCGGTTGTGTTGACGGAGATGGATGGTGGTGGGCTTGGTGGGAATAGTGATGGGCCTAGAAGGATCTCGTGGGTTAGAGCTAATGGGACAGTTGGATCGGGATCTGTTGGTAATAACGGCTCTGGTTCGGGAGGGAGGTTGAGACGGATGGTTCGTGGAGTTGTGTCGTTGATTAGGAGAGTGAGACCAAACCGTGGTGTTTCGTCTTCTTCTTCGAATCATTTGGATTTGGATAGTGGAGTGGAGACTAGGGTTATGGATCGGTCGAATTCGGTGTTGAGGAGATATTTTGGGCGAAACAGAAGTAACAGAGATTCTTCTGTTCTGAATTGATGATTGTTATGTCTTTATTTTTTTTTGTTTTTTTTTCATCATTCAACAATGTAAATATAAGATTATTCAGAAGAAAATCTGGATTATTGATTATTTTGTTTGTTACATTACATCAAAATGTCTAATGTACATTCGAGTTTTCATCATTTTCTTTAAGTTGGAGCCAGATCCTGGAAACTTTTCCAGAGCTTTTGTCTGCCTTGGTTTCCGAGAAAGTAAAAAGAATGATTGTCCTTTAAGCTTTTCTTTTTGCTTGGATGCTGAGATAGAGAGGGCCTAGTTGAGAAAGATATGCACAGAAAAAGAAAAAGAGTCACGAGGAATGATAGAATTGATGGTCAAGTTGCCAAATTTGAATTCTCATTCAAGTGCAACTCTTTTTAACACATACCTCCACTGTACAGTTTGATTTTGGTCTGGAACGGTTGACCTGGTCATTGAACTAGACCAGAGCGTTCAGGTAATTATCGGTTTGTTTATAACTGTACGAAATTGCACCAAAATTAATTTGGTCCGGTTTGGCATATTCGCTTTGTGAATATTCTATCATTTTTATTGAAATTTTTGTTTTGGTTAGATTTTTGATTTTTGTTTGGACAACAGTTCTGAACCGAAAACGAAAAAAATTGGTTCGTTTCAATTGAACGATGAGTTAACCTAAACACTCTTTTAGAATAATTTTTTTGGCAGATGTAAACACAATAAAATCTCTCCTCAATTCAACTACGACAAGTCATTAACGTAGAAGAAAAATGGAGAAGAAAAATTCTTTTTTTTTATTATCAATGGAGAAGAAAAATTTAACTACGACAAGTCACTAAGTTTGTAGTTGTGTCTCAGAGAGAGTGAGTCATTGTGAGAGAGTGAGAGAGAACAATCATGCACAGTTTTTTTATTTGTTTTAGTTTTGGACAACTCAAGCTCTGTTCGTTATGCAAACGCTGAAACGGACGGCAGCTACAAAGAAATTACACTGCGACCGAAACAACTTTAAGGCCATGGAAAATAAAAATGGCCGCTAATGAATTGCCCGAAGTACAAAATACGAGTAGCCGTCGCCGCTGAAATATTCAGCGTATTTCTATTCTTCGCAATCAGCCGCTATGTTAAGAAAAATAGGCTAGCGTTGTTTTATTAGTGTTGAGCTTTGCTGTGTTTTGCCGTGATTTGTGGCCGCTGCCGTTGCTTTTGGGGCTTTGCATAAAGAACAGGGCTTCAATAAAAAAATCCAACAAAAACGGACATATCCGGTCCCACACTCCAACTCAAACCGTTTGTCCTCAAAATTTCCTTTTTAAGCAAACATTTTGTCAAATACAAAGAATATACAAAAAATGGTGACTAAATTGGAGAATGGAGAAGAGAAATTCAGCTACGACAAGTCACCAAGTTTGTGTTTGTGGTTGTGTGTGTGTGAGAGAGAGAGAGTGTGTGAGAGGGACAACATTTCATGTAATCATATCACATACAGTCGGAATCCAACAAAAACGAACATATCCGGTCCCACATTCCAACTCAAACCGTCGATTCTCAATCTTTCCTTTTATATAACCATCATCCTTATCTTCTTCTTTTAGCAAAAAAATTGTGAAACACAAAAAAGACAAAGAAAATGGCCTCGATCGAGTTTGATCCTTATGTGGAGCGCAGAGCTTTTGATGAGACGAAACAAGGAGTAAAAGGGCTGGTCGACGCTAAAATCACCCAAGTCCCACGTATCTTCCATGTCCCACAAGGTTCCTTGACCGACAAGAAAGCCACTGCCTCTGTTCCAGACCTAGAGATCCCTATCATTGACTTTGCAAGTGTCCACGTGGACACAGCCTCGCGTGAAGGCATCGTCGAGAAAGTCAAACACGCGGCGGAGAAGTGGGGATTCTTCCAGGTGATAAACCATGGTGTTCCTTTGAACGTTCTCGAAGAGATTCAAGATGGAGTTCGTAGGTTTCACGAGGAAGATCCTGAGGTCAAGAAACGATATTTCTCGCGTGATGACGCCAACAAAAAGTTTGTCTACAATAGTAACTTCGATCTATACAGTTCTTCGACTTCTGTTAACTGGAGAGATTCTTTCGCTTGTTACATAGTTCCAGATCCTCCAACTCCTGAGGAACTTCCAGTAGCTTGCAGGTTACGGAAACAGACTCTTAACTTCATTTTCTTTCTTTTTTTACTGGAAGTCACAAACTTAAAGCCTTAATCATCAATCAAAGTTCAATAGCCAGATATATTTAATTGTGGCTAAAGAAGGATATGCTTCTAAATTCTGTGATGCTCAATCAATGTTTGTCTTTTAAAAAAATCAAAGAGGTTGAAGTTTAATTGATTAAAGCCAAATAGTTTAATATTTGACAATTTGATCTTAGTTTTGGTTAAGCTAGAAGCCAGATTGATCAGCCTAGCTAGGCAGAATTCGATAGTCAAAGCATGTGGTTAATCAATCACTTTAACTATGTTTTACTGCAAGAAAATGTTATTGATTTTTAACATTATATCATTTGATTGACTCAGGGATGCTATATTTGAATACTCAAAGCATGTGATGAGTTTAGGTGGTTTACTCTTTGAGCTTCTTTCAGAAGCGCTAGGTTTGGAATCTGATATCCTTAAGAGCAAGGAGTGCTTGAAGACTTTGCTTATGATCTGCCATTATTACCCACCTTGTCCACAACCTGACCTAACTTTGGGGACAAGTAAACACTCAGACAACTCCTTCCTCACGGTTCTTCTTCAAGACGACATCGGTGGTCTACAAATTCTTCATCAAGACTCTTGGGTTGATGTGGCTCCTCTTCCTGGAGCTTTAGTCATCAACATTGGAGATTTCTTGCAGGTAAAGTAAGAATGTGAAAGAAAAACACACACACATACCAAACGCCTTTACTTTATATATGTGTTTGGGTTTTTGCAGCTGATAACGAACGATACGTTTGTAAGTGTGGAGCATAGGGTGCTCGCGAATAGACAAGGACCAAGGATTTCAGTTGCAAGCTTTTTCAGCTCTAGTAAACATGCTAATTCCACGGTTTATGGACCAATGAAAGAGCTTGTGTCTGAAGAAAACCCTCCAAGATACAGAGACATAACCATAAAAGAATACACAGATGGATATTTTGAGAAAGGTCTGGATGGAACATCGCATCTCTTGAATTTCAGGATATGAAGCACAAAACTACAGAAAAAGAAATTTATGTTGTTTCTCAGCATCAGTTACGTACGCTTTTCTTGGATCTGCAATAATTAATCCGCTATGTGTGGGGATCTTCTACTATTGTGTACTCTTGTCGAATCCAAACAAGTTGAGGCTTAATGAATCTACGTAATATTTGTCTTAATAATATAATAAATCAGTACCAAAAACCGGGGGTTCTAGTTCAAGTGGTAAAAAACTTACAGCTGTGAGTACCATCACCTAGGTTCGAATTCCGGCCACTGGACCGGAGAATTAACATTTCAGCATCGCCAGGAACATAGGACCGATACGTGGCAACACGTGACTAATCTGGATCACTTCTGTGAGGCCAAAATACTATAGAAAACAGAGAGAAAACAGAGTTTTGACTGAATAAACTTATTTTGCTTAGAACTCAAGTAAGTTACATCGTTGCAATATATACACGACTAAGAACAATCTAGACTCATGACAGCTAAGAGTGACAGATCTCCAAGATAGGTGGAAAGTCTCTTGTCCTCATTCCATGGATAAAAGAGCATCAAACTTGTTATACAGCTCCAGCGCTTCCTTTGTCTTATTTGCAGGTACAGAAGCCTCTGGAAGAATATCCACCTCTGCCTCTGTATGAAGACCGTCCCCGACCACGGTTGTGAGGATTGTAGTGGGGTGGGGTGTTCTTGGAGTTTTGACCTTGGTTTGTGTTCTGAGCGGCAAAGGCGAGATGTGGTGTGACAGAGGGTTGCTCTTCGTAGGACTTTAGTTTAGATTCAAAACCCTGTACTTCTGAGACGACATCATTAAAGGTTGGTTGAGGGAACTTGGTCAAGGAACTCTGGATTCATGTGGAGATAGGGTCATTCTCTCGTCCAAGTCCATTGAGAAAGCCAAAAATTTTCATTGATTCATTAATGGGTTTTCCAATGGAGCTGAGAGAGTCACAGAGGGTCTTGAACTCACGAGTATACACCACAAGTGTCTTCCCTTTATTCGTCAACAACTGAAGATTTCTGCGAAGAGTAAACTCACGAGAGAGGGAACTCTTGTTGAAATTTTCTGCAAGACTGAGCCAGATCTCTCGTGCAGTAGTGAGGGTGTAGACATGACCGAGGACTTCTTCAGAGAGGGTTCCAAACAACCAAGATCTGACCAACTGATCAGTACAGAACCAAGCTTCGTACAAAGGATTGGGGTGCTCGACTGGGATGTTGTTCTCCATGACGACACGGGTAGCTTTCGGAGCCGTGACAACACCTTTGAGAAAACCGATAAGCTTCTGGCTTGATAGAAGAGATTCGAACTGGGTCTTCCATAGGAGATAGTTACTATCATTGAGTTTTAGGGTGACGGAACTACTGACATGTATTTTGCTGGGGAAGGGATAGGGATTGAGTGGATCGGCCATAGTTACCTGTGAAGGTTTTTATGGCTCTGATACCATATAGAAAACAGAGTTTTGACTGAATAATCTTATTTTGCTTAGAACTCAAGTAAGTTACATCGTTGCAATATATACACGACTAAGAACAATCTAGACTCATGACAGCTAAGAGTGACAGCTCTCCATGACAGGTGGAAAGTCTCTTGTCCTCATTCCATGGATAAGAGAACATCAAACTTGTTATACAACTCCAGTGCTTTCTTTGTCTTATTTGCAGGTACAGAAGACCGTTGGAGACCTTTGGCGTTTGATGCTGAGTTCAGATGGGCTTTATTCTCAAGCTGATGGGCCTTTCTGTCACACACACTAACAAATACCTCTGTATAATTCAAAAAAAAAAAAAAAACCAGTATTGAACATGTTATAAACGTGAAACTGAAAGAAGTCAGAAAAGGATGCACCGATCATTTCAATGTGTCGTGTGTCGAGAGCCAGACAAGATTCACGTAATCATCACAGACACGTTCGGTCCCACACACTAGTGCCAACCATCCGTTCATTCCCTTGTCAATCTTTTCTCTTTTAGTTTGCTTTATATTCTTCAATTCTAAGCAAACATCTTGTGTAAAAAAGAAGATCAAAATGGTTACCAAAACCTCAACCGAGTTCGATCCTTACACGGAGCGAAAAGCTTTCGACGAGACCAAAGAAGGAGTAAAAGGGCTGGTCGACGCTAAAATCACTGAAGTCCCTCGTATCTTCCATGTCCCCAAAGATT